GGTAGGCATTTTACAGGGTGGTTTCAGGGGAGAAAAAAGGTGTCAGAAAATAGAAGCAGCCAGAAGTAGATAAGAAATCCAAAGAGGAGGTGACCCTGAAGTGAGGAACATGCTGGATAGGAAAAGATTTGGGAGTAATAGTATAAGAGATAAAATAAATACTACAGTGAACATTTTTGTACATACATCCTATTTCTGTATCATACATTCCTAAGAGTGAGAGTCATGGGCCAAAACGTACGCCAAATTAATATTTTGATAGATACTACCAGATTACTTTACAAAAAGACTGAAGCAATTTTACTCCCACTAGCAGTGGATGAGAAACTGGTCCTCTCCGCTTCTCAGCTCCACATGTTCTCAATGTTTTCAATTTTGAGGGAAAGGAGGAATGGTATATCTCAGTTATAGTTTGTGTTTGCCAACCTGCTGGTGTCTTTGAGCATCTTCTTAAGTTAATCTATTATTTGTATTTCCTCTGAATTACCTGTTCATATCTCTTGGCCATTTATTCTATCAGTTTTTTTTTTTTTTTGGTCTTTTTCTTATCAATCTGTAGGCACTCTTTGTATATTAGAGATAAGCTTTGTCAGTCACATGTGTTGCAAATGTTTTCTTTCTGTCTATTATTTTGTTATTTTTTTAAACATCATGGATATTTTTTCTTTCTCTTCATGCATTTTAAGTTTTAATAGACTCAAATCTCTCATTCTTTCCCCTGCCCCCCTATTGTGGATTCTAGTTTTCCACCTAGAATGCCCCACCTGGGATTTTACATACATTTTCTAAAATTTTTTTCTAAGATGTTTATATTATTATTATTTTGTTCTACATTGTAATCATTTTTGCTGTTTTGAGTATAGGTATAACTTGGAATTGAGACGATGACTGAGTTCTAGGTCAAAATCCTGGATCACTGTGAGGGAGGGAACAGGGTTGTAGGTGAGACTGACAAGGAGTAGAGTATGGGGTGGGCAGATGGCATGTGCCTCAAAGGAGCCATTTTTTTCATTGTGGTAAAATATACATAATATAAAATTTATCATTTTAACCATTTTTAGGTGTATAATTCATGGGCATTAATTACGTTCACAGTGTTGTGCAAACACCCACCACTATCTCTTCAAGGAGCCATTTTTATGTGATGAAGAAATAATGGTCCAGAATCAGCAAAGGGAAGAATGATAACACAACAACAGCAAATGCAGACTTTCCTCTCCCCACCACTTCCAATCCCTTTCCAGCTTTATGGGGAACTTGGCAGCCTCATTTTGAAAGGACATCATTTTTGAAAACAGTTGGGTTGCAGTTAAGGCAAAGAAATGTGGGAATATTCTGCACAAAGGTTAATAATAGAGGGTAAGCTGTTTTCAGAGTAACAGGGATGGTGGTGGGCACACCAGGCAGGATTCATTGGCAGAGGCAGTGAGAGAATGGTCTGATTGTGGAGGCCCAGATCAGGACTGGGACAAGAGTGGGGACAGGTACCAAGGACAGGAATGGGCATTTCATGGTGCCTGAGACTAGGCGCTGATGGTATCTCCTACGGGCCTACTCTTCCTGCTTTTGGCCTGGTTGGTGTATCCACCGGTGACTGCTAGCAACTGATTCTAAGGAATTGTTCTACAAGTGCACAGAGACATGTACAAAGAACTTTATTATACTTCTACAATAGGAAAAATCTGAAACAATTCACAAATCTATCAATATCGAAATGATCAAATAAATTACCTCACCTTTTCCTTTCTTTTTATTTCCTGTAGACCAAACCCTTATAATGAGAGTGTTTTTATCTTTTACCTGTATAACTAAACAGCAATAATAATAATTAAGACAAAAAGAGACCCATCTGCACCCTCCAACCCAACTGTTAAGCTAGAATGTCAGTGAGGTGTTATTTGGGCTTGGCGGTGCTGTTGGAGCGTTCCCGTGGACCTTGGGTTTCTGTAGAGAGCTCATCCCAGGGGGAGGATTGTTTTGGTTCAGCTTCAGTATGGATGGAAGCTTAGAGTGTGGTTGTATCGCCTCATTTGTGCACTGAATCACCCTACTTAGTGTACCTCCTTCTCCTTTCTCTCCTCATGCCTCCTTTTTAAAACGTACTCTCAAAAGTTGCTTTTTTTTTTGCCCCCTAAGAACATGTCCTGCCTTCCTCTAAAAAGGCTGCGTCTTTGGTCACATGGCTATAGGGTCAGTGACCTCACAGCACACATTCCAAATTTTGTAATGGAAGCCAAGACTGCTCGGAGGTTTTGGCCTACCTTAGCTGCAATGGGTCTTGTGGCCCTGGGCTGCTGTCACCAATTTGGTCTCAAAGTCACTCATATACATGACATCTCTCTGCAGATCGCATAGAATGTGCTGTGTAGGTCCCTAGTAAGAGCTAGCAGAAAGTTCTTTGTTTTCCCCTTAGCTCTTCCTGTTTTTTGCTTAAAGAATTTTTCCTGACTGCAAGACTCTGCATGACTTGTAACCAACTATTGGCATCTAAATGCTGCTGGCTATCACAGGTATAGAATGCTCACTTTCCTGAAACCTGTTAGTTACACTGGTTCCTTGTATAGCCATTTGTTGTATATTTTTCCTTAGAAAATGCCTTGTCCTCACTTGAGAGCAGTGGGAACATAGTGGGAAGAGCACCAATAACACAAACCTATATTCAAATCCTTTTTCTACTAATTCCTGTGTGACATTAGGCAAAAAGTTAATTTCTCTGAGCCTATGTTTATCCATACCACATACTCATTCTGTCTAAAATAGCCAACCTCCACATCCTCTGTGACATCCACTTGTTCAGTTCCTTCAAAGCTCTTGTCACAGTTTGATTCTCTTCTTTATGTGTTACTTCCTTAAAATTATTTACTGTGTTTTGAAGATGTGCATGCTCACAGTGTAAAATTCAAAACTTACAAAGGGATATATCAGTGGAAACAGAGTCTCTGCTCTCACCTCTGATTGCCAGCCCACCCAGTTCCAATCTCTGGAGAAAAATGCTTTTACTTTTTGTGTTCTTTTCCAGATATAATCTATTCATATACAAAAATTTACATACACAAGCACACACACAGACACAGACACATTTAACTCAAGTTGTAGCATAGTATAACACTGTTTGAACTTTACTTTTTCCCCCCAGTTAACAATATATTTTGAATCTGTCTATGTTTATACGCATTAGAACTGCCTCATTCTCTGTGATGGCTGGATAGAATTCTATTTGATGGATTTAACAGTTGACTTAGCTAGTCTCCTATTAATGGAAGCTTAGATCATTTCCTCTCTTTTGCCTTTACAAACAATGCTGCAATGACTATATTTCTTCAGGTGTAATTTTGTGTTTTTTGAGTACTTGTAGTCATGCCAAATTGCTCTACATAAATCTGCAGACTTACACTCCCTCCAGCCATGTATGAGAATTTCATTTTCTCTACATCTTCACTGGTGCAGTTTTTCACCCAAAGTTTTGATCTTTGCTTATTAGAGAGGTAAAGAAATGGTTTCTCATTATGGTTTTAATTTGCATTTCTCTTATGAAGAATTATAGCGAGCATCTTTTCACATGCGTGAGAGCCATTTCTATTTCCTTTTTGTAAACTGACAGTTCATAGACTTTATCCTTTTTTAAAAGAGTTGGATGACTGATATTTTTCTGAATAATTCGTAAGAAAAAATTTCTTTATATACTAACTAAATTAGCCATTTGAGTGTGATACAATCTGAAAATATTTTGTCTTTACTTTGTCATTTTTTCTCTTAACTTGTATATGATGGGATTTTTTTTTCCTAGTTAAAAATTCTGGATTTTACATATCAAATTTACCATCTTTTCTTTATTGAATTCTGGGTTTTATATCATTTGATATCCCTCATTCTCCATTCTAAGATTAAATTAGTTAAGGGAGAGTTGTAGACAATTGACCTCTAGTGAAAGGCATAATTATCGAAGCATCAGGAACTAACTGGAGATGGCATTGTTGTGGCAAGAAGGATAGAACATTGGTGCATCTGCCAGAGAAACATTTAAATGAGTGCAGTGATTACATTTATGATGGCTCTTCCAGGAGGCTTTCAGAACCAACATATAGCACTACAGATATTTGTTGACAGATTCGAGGCCTCATCAAATATCCCTAGACTCAGAGACAGAGCCACATGTGGAAAACAGTGCTGAGAGACTAGGTCAGCCTGGGGATGCTCTTTAAAGATGCAAAATTCTGGATGGAAGCTTACCTATGAATAATCGATTTTTGTGAGAGTACAAAAACTTACCCAGTGGTGAGAGTACTAGAATCTTAGAGAGAGACGTTTTTCCTGTGGTCTCAAAATTTTGGCTGAAACCTCAAGCTGAGAGTAGTAGGTGATGAAAAGTCCTATATTACAAAGAAAGCCCCATAGGCCTTTCCAAACTGGTCTAGGACGTTTAGCAACAGCCCACATAAGAAGATAAAAGACTGATTACAGAGGCAAAGTCTTTGAAGGAATTGGTGGATGAAGAGATTGCTGGGGTATTTCCCCTCCCACCTGCCAAGGCAAATGAGGGGTGAATCTAGAGGACATCTAGGAGAGGTTGGGCACTGCTTGCTGGAGGTGGGCACAGAGTCTTGCTCCCTGGCTCTTTGTTGCTCAGCTATGGAAACATGTAGATTTGGGGCTGACTGGAGAACAAGAGAGTGCTTGAAGAACCTGACCTAGGTCCCCTATTGTGGAGGGTGTAGAAAATTTGTCTGAATGTTGTTTAGGGAAGTCTGATGGTGGGAAGCTGGTAGAAATTGCCCCTAATGACAGGGTAAGGAAGGGTAGCTTCAGTGGATGGGAGCAGCAGTTTCACTATTTGTTGAGTGGGTATATGAGCTCCCTGAGCCCTGAGAGGAAGCAGAAGAAGGGAATGGAGTTTGAGTTATCTACAAAGGGCTTTATCTAAGAAGACTTCCTGTGAGGCAAGGGGACTCCAGAAGAAAGAAGTCATGTGGAATGTTTCACCATAAATTGAGAGTTAATATAAAGTTAAGAGGCCTTCCAGAGGGTATATCATCTGTATCAGGAAATGATGCAGTGCAGAAATTCCTCAGGGGTACATCTATTGGTGTGTGGGATCTCCTAAAACCCACAGAAGTGTTCCATGAGAGAGAACTAGTATCTGGGTATTATATCATCTCTGTCAGGTTCAACAAGAGAAGCACAACCAGGAGGAGATATATATTAAGAAATTTATTGTAAGGAATTGGCTTATGCAGTTGTGGAGCTGTCTAGGCAAGTCCAAAGTCCAGAGGGCAGGCTGTCAGGAAGGGCAGACTAGAACCCTCCAGCAGGGGCCGAAGCTGCCGTCCACGGGTGGACTTTCTTCCTCATCAAGGAAGCTTCAACTTTTAAGCCTCTCCTGAGGCTGGAGGGCTGTCTCACTTCGCTACTGCTGGTCTGTGGAAACAAGGATCAGAGCTTAGAGGAATGTAGGCAGAAATTCTGAATTGGTTATAAGAGTAACATTTTGATTTAGATTGGATTAAACTTTTCAGGTATCAATTTGTGTACACAGAAATTGAAGATTGACAAAATGGTCTTATTTGGTCTCTGCACATGTATAATTTTTTTTTAACATGAAAAATTTTTTTTTCCTATCACACTACCTTTTCCTCTGTTTCTTCTCTTTCCCTAGGTCATCACTTGAAGAACTGATGTGTAATAGTCTCATTACTGGATTTAATTGCCCTCTTGTGGTCAAAGCCAATGATTGCAGTGGTAAAGACAGATGCTAAAGCACTCAGCCCAAGGCCATTTCAGGGGATACTGGTTTCTTTTTGTTTTGTTTTGTTTTTAATGGCCAACCAAGGGGAGAATCCACTCTATCCAATCACTAGAGGAAAGAACATTTTCTTACTACCTTAATTCTAGAAAAATTCATGCATTATTTTTACCACTCAGATACAAACAGTTCATTTGTGGCCTATCCCCTTTGTCACTGTACATTTTCAAGATCGACATCTAGGGCCATTTGATTAGCAAGATTGCCTGTGCCCTGTATTCAGGTCACTGCCCATTATGGACAGTGAATGAGTAATTATAGAATGGCAGGGAGTGAGTAAGACAGAAAAAACCTTCAGTAGCAAGGAAAGTGGGAATCAGTAGTAGGAGGCTCATTAGTGAAAAAAACAACAAAAGAGGATAAAACAGAGATATATCATATTCTTAATAAAAGCACAGTATTTGGTTACAGGAAAGTAAACTTTCTGAAAAGTAGGAGAGAAAGGAGAAGTAGAGTAGAATCAAGTGCTAATCTTTTATCACTTCGGAATGGTTCACAACCACGTATATTTAATTTCAGTATATGGCAGAGAATCATCACAGAGTCACAGACACAGCCAGGTCCCTAGGCTTTCCCCCGAGGCTTTTCTCTTTATTCCTCAAAGAATAATATGTAATTTAATTTTCCCCACCCCATCTTGACAGACAAATGCCATGCTGTCCATTTTTCTGTTTGTTTAAGTGCCTTCCATGTTGTGTTATCTAAGTCAGGAAATCTTTCCTTAGAGTTCTGTAGGAAACATTAGATTGGAAATCAGAAGATGTTTCACTATTTGACTGTTTTGGATCTACAGAAATGATACTGTCATATGGTTCAACTTAAATATTTATTGTCCTGTCATTAAATAACAATAATATATTTGGAATGGCAGCTAGCTTTTCTGTTCTGTGCTTCCCTCCCGTGCCCACCACTGGTCTCCAGTATTCTTAAAACTTATTTTTATTTAGAGTGCAATTCTTCTGACTCACTTTCAGACTTCACATTCTTATATACAATATTGTGGTCTGTGACATCATGTGGCGCTGGTGATGCAGCATTTCCTGAGTGCCTCACTGTTGTCTCTAGGGTTGTTTGCTAAGCTGGCAACCTTTCTTCAGGTCTTCACGCTAACACTTTTTTGATCTTACCAGAAGTTGTCAATGGAGAGTTTCAAACAATAATCAGAAGTCCAATTCCTTTTTCAAATGTTTATTAAATGATTCATTGACTGAGACATTGAGAAATTAAAGTCGTTCAATGGGAAGGTCAATGGGAAAACAGCCCAGTTCACGCATGAAGAAGGAATGGTGACTACATCATGACATTGCCTACCTGACAGCAACTGTTTAAAATGCTGTGGCAGGCTGTATTTCCAAAGATGTCTGAATGTCTCTCATCAAACATACTCTTTAAAAACAGACAACTAAATGCCTTTATTGAGGTATAACTGATGTACCATAAACTGCACCTGTTTGAAGTGTACAATTCAGTGAGCCACATGCTCTTTTGCACTGTGTCCTTGCCACTCCCCCACCAAGAAGAGGAGTCTATTTTCTCTACTCTTGAATCTGGACTGAATGTTTGTTGCACTTATCCTTTCTTTGTCTCACCACCATTTACTGAGTTTGTGTGTGGGGCAGATATCTTGTCTTTTAAGTTCAAATGTCTTCAGGTTGAGAGGAACTCTACTTAAAGAGTAGTACCTAAAGAACTTCACCCCAAAACCCATTCACACCCAGTTTAGATGGTGAGATCCTAGACTTATCCATAATAAGACGAGACTTTTGGGGGAGAGACCAGGTGCATTTTGTATGTGGGAAAGACATGAGTTTGTAGTCAAATGGCAGATTTAGTAAATTCTTTCCAATGATGGCCACAACAATATCTTCAATTACACACTCTTTTGTAATGTGATCTTGCTTCTCCCTCAAGACATGGAGTTCATTTCATTTTCTCTTGAATGTAAGCTGACCTTATGATGATCTTGACCAATCAAATGTGATAAAAGTGATATTACAAGACTTCTGGGGCTAGTTCATAGGTAACCTTGAAGCTTCTGCCTTAGTTCCTTGGAAACTTTGCTCTTGGGAGCTCTGAAATGCCATGTAACAAGTCTAGCTATCCTGTTAGAGAAACCACAAGGAGAAATGCTGGGGCTACATGGAGAGGGAGGGGCTAAGCTGTCCAAGAATCCCAGGAGAGCCTTCAGATGATTCCCGTCCCAGCTGCTATCTGCCTGCAATTTCATGAGAGACTGCTGGCAAGACCACCAGAAGAATCATCCAGGTAGGCCCAGTCAATCCATGAAATGGAAGTATAATAAAATTGTTGTTGTTTTAACTTATTGAATTTTGGGGTGGTTTGTTATGCAGCAATAGCTAAACAAAATAGACATTATCCATGGTAAGATGTGTCCCAATTTCAGTGATGTTAAAGTGTGAAAGATGTGCAATTTTCAACTGGTGAAATAAAAAAATATAAACACATGCAAATTACATGAATAGTAATTTATAAAAGAAGAAATCTTAATGGCTCATGTGAAGAGATACTTCACATCTCTAGTAGTTAGAGGAGTAAAAATTGAGACAATCAGGAAGTAAGACTTTTTAGGGGCTGGCCCCATGGCATAGTGGTTGAGTTCAGCATGTTCTGCTTTGGTGACCCCAGGTTTGTGGGTTCAGATCCTGGATGTTGACCTGCACCACTTGTCAACCATGCTGTGGTGGTGACCCACATACAAAATAGAGAACGAGTGACACAGATGTTAGCTCAGGGTGATCTTTCTCAGCAAAAGGAAAAAAAAAAAAAAGAAGTAAGACTTTGTATTTAAAATTGAAAAAATGTGGGGGGGGCATTTCCACAAAGTGATGTAGGAAGACCCTGAGCTCACTTCCTTCAATGGACACATCAAATCCACATCTACATATAGAACAATTCATCCTGAAGAAGAAGTGAGAGCTGAGTAAATAGCTTCTGCTCAACACATGATAGAGGGACCACATAGAGACAGGTAGGAGAAAGGGAGACACAAAATCGACAGGAACCACACTCCTGACACAGCAACCTGCAGCAGGAAGGGATATCACTGAGAGGCCCATGTGCAGGCTTGCCCACTCTGGGGCACAGTGAAAACACAGCAGTGCAAAGGACACCTAGACTATATGAAAAAGAAATCCATTTACTAGCCTTAGAGCATCTGCCAAATGAGTAAGGAATTGCTGAAATTCTCTCTGGGGTTGAAGGTGCTGATGAGTACCATTTTTAGTGTTTCTCCTCTACTTTGATAGTGCAGGTGGGAGCAAGGGCCAGACCCTCTAGCTGGCCGGCTAAGAACACCACAGCATGCCCCAGACCCCTGGCCCACACCAACTCCAGCTGCCCCCACCAGGGTGGCCCCAGCAAACACAGTTTACGTAGAGGATGATCCCACACAAGGCCATTCCTTCAAGACTAGGAGAAGTAGCTGTTTTGCTTAATTCATAGAAACAAACACAGAAAGTCAAACAAAATGAGGAGACAGAAGAATATGTTCCAAACAAAAGAACAAGGTAACACCCCAGAAAAAACTCTAGTGAAGCAGAGATAAATAATTTAGTGATAAAGCGTTCAAAGTAACATCTAAAGAAGCTCACTGAACTAGGGATTAGAATGGAGAAACACAGGGAGAACTCTAACAAAGAGACAATATAAGAAAACCAATCAGAGCTGAAGAATATAATAACCGAAATGAAAAATACATTAGAGGGAATCAGCAGCAGATTTGATGATACAGAAGAATGATCAGCAGTCTGGAAGACAAAATAGTGGAAATCATCCAATCAGAACAGCAAAAAGAATTTAAAAAAGAGGATAGTTTAAGGAACTTCTGGGACAACATCAAGCACACTAACATTTGCATTATAGGTGTCCCAGAAAGAAAAGATAGAGAGAGAAGGGCAGAAAACTTATTTAAGAAATAATGGTTGACAAATTCCCTAACCTAGGGAAGGAAACAGACATCCATGTCAAGGAAGCACAGAGAGTCCCAAACAAGATGAACCCAAAGAGATCCACATGAAGACATATTATAAATAAAATGGCAAAGTTAGAGATAAAGAGAGAATATTAAGGGCAGCAAGACAAAAACAACAAGGCACATACAAGGGAACCCCCATAAGACTATCAGCTAATTTTTCAGCAGAAACTTTGTGATCCAGTGGCATGATATATTTAAAGTGCTGAAAGGAAAACACTTCAAACTAAGAATACTTTACCACGCAAGGTTATCATTCAGAATTGAAGGAAAGATAGAGTTTCTCAGACAAGCAAGAGCTAAAGGAGTTCATTGCCACTAAATTGGACTTACAAGAAATGTTAAAGGGTTTTCTTTAAGAAGAAAAGAAAAAGCCATAACTAGAAATAAGAAAATATATGAAAGAAAAAAATCACACTGGTGAAGGCAAATATCTAGTAAAGGGAATAGATCAACCACTTAAAAAGCTAGGATGAAGGTTAAAAGACAAAAACAGTAAAATTAACTGTAAATATAATAAGTAGTTAAGGGATATACAAATAAAAAGATGTAAAATATGACATAAAAAACAAAAGGTGGGGGGAGGAGAATAAAAATGTAGAGCTTTCAGAATGAATCTGAACT